GAAACCAACTAAATTGTGAAATGCCTCATTAGGATCGCAAAGTGAGGTATAAGAACTAAGTAGGATCCCAGTTGGCTAACTTTCTTGGTTTAGTGTTTTTTGATTATCTTTTCGTGAATAATGGTTTCTGGCTATGAGGATGTCCGTGTCATGACGCACGAAAGCTCATCACGGAATCATCGATGTCGTAGGACGCTGAACCGAGGTCTTCTTCGCAAAATTCAACAGGTAAAAGACCAAGGCAACCCTTTTTCGGTATACAAACGGGACCAATCTTCGATTCCTTTCGATCCGCCTTCTCAAACAAAATGAAAGGTACGCAAGTAGCAATGAACCTTTACAACGTATTATTTCAATTCTTCTTGATAATTACATCTAATCTGGAATTCTCAATCGTAGCGGCTGCACTGCTCACTACCGAGTCATTTTAGAGCCGTGGCCAGCAACTACTCGTTTGGAAGCGCCTTAAGATTTATGCTACCGACTAGCATTAGAACAGTCGCCATTGTCATCATCGTATGCCGGGTCTGATTGATGCATGAGTCTTTGATAAAGGGTTTTCGGAAACTTGATTAAATTTGATCTCATCGGGTGCATCTTCAATCAGGCTTCCATCTCGAATCGTACTAATGAGTGATGTGATTTTATCCCCTACAGGATTCTGCTCTAAACCAAAGTAAGTAAATCCGAAAATTCAACTCAGTGAATACATTCAATTAGTCTTTAGTTATGCAAGTAAGTTGGTAACAGTACCTAACATTAGACATGAAAAAATGCGTTGACCCTGTGAATTAGCCCTTGACTCGATTTCACTTGGGAGAATATGTCTTATAAGACCAGCACCGGTTTTCACCAAACTTTATGTTACTTGAAGATATGAAGACCAAGATGTTGTGGCCTCTGGTATGGTCGCAGTCTCCTTTCGAATTATAGAAGTGGGTTGACCTCGTAGTCACAACCTGGTCTTGTTGTCAGGGCGACTTAGTAGAACGCACCTAGTCCAAAGTCGTCTGCCATAGTAGTTGTCATG